GAGCACTGACCCTGGAGTCAGGAAGATCTGAGTGCAAATCCAGCCTCAGACACTTACTAACTGTGTGACCCTGAGCAAGTCACTTCACCCTGTTTGCTTCAGTTTCCTCATCTGTAAAATGAGCTGGAGAAGGAAATGGCAAACCACTCTAGTATCTTTGCCAAGAAAACCCCTAATAGGGTCACAATAAGAGTGAACAACAACTGTGTAAGAATGCTAGAAAGGTCTAAAGGGCTATTGAAGAAGAGATATGGCCCTGCACCCCTCTCCCATCCCCCCTCAAAAAAAAGGGAGAGGCCGTATGTTGCTCTCAGATTGGGTGACCACCACAAAATGAGCGACCTTTGTCTGGCCAAGGTAAACAGAAAAAGATAGGACTGAATGGTGACGTCTTAGGAACCCTTGAGGTGTGGGGGAAGGAAGTTTAGTCTGAGCCAGGGGAGTTTTTAGCTGGAGAGATTGGCCTGGGCTGTAGCTAGCTCATGTCTGTTGAGCGTGGGAAGGAGGGTCCCCAGCTACCTCCCCACATCTGTGGTCCTCTCACTGTCCCAGACCCCCACACCTGCCTGGGGGCTGCTAGGATGACAAAGGCCGCTTGGGGAGGGGGGCAGGCGGTATTCTCTGCCCTCCCGGGCTGAAGCCCAGAACACAAAGCGAAACTGACCCTGACACCCAGTGATAACACTTGAGAACAGGGAACACGGTGCCCTGCGTGGGAGAGCAAGGATGCCTCAGAGGAGGCTGTGACACCTCCTTATCACTGGGCTTTGGTCCTCCCCCTGCACCAGCGTCCTTTTCAGGGCCCCTTCTTTCCCTGGGCCCAGGGTAGCCACTCCTCTGTTTCCTCCCACCTTCCAGGCCTCCTGGCCTTTCCCTTGGAACCTCAGGACACCCTATGCCCTTCCTCAGAGGCCAGAGCCAGATCTCCCAGAAGCTGTAGCTCGTTACTGGCAGGGGGTGGAGGGGATGAGAAGAAAGGCAGATGAGGGGAAACAGAACACCCTCACCCCCACCCCACCATCCCTGCTCAGATCAGGACTCCAGCAAAGCTTCCCTTGTCAGGACCCTGTAGGCCTTAATGTCTCCTGCCAAGCAGTCAGTCAACAAACATTTACGAAGTACCTGCTGCACGTTGGGCACTGTGCTAAATCACCTGTGATAGAAGGAAAGGCAAAAACAGTCTGTGCCCTTAAGAGACTCACAGTCTGTGGCGGATGGCATGGGGTGGGAAGAGTTATGTTCAAACAGGATAAATTGGAGGTAATCTCAGAGAGCATGGAGTCATTAAGGCAGAGATCAAGGAGGACTGGGGAAGCTGTCTTATAGAAGGTAGGACTAGCTGAGACTTAGAGGAAGCCTGCAAAGCCAGGAGGAGATGAGGGAGAGAGTTCCAGGGAAGGGGAACAGCCAGGAGAAGGGTCTAGTCTGAGAGTCAGGCAGGCATCCTAGACTGGGATGGAAGGTGCAGGGTCCCCAGGCCTCAGCTTCTGCTTAGGTCCACTCCTAGGGCCCTTCCCTCAGGGGGAGGGGGAGAGAGAGAAAACATTTTTTTAAATGACCGTTAAAAATTGTCTTTACATGTAACTGGGGAAAAAATAAAATATTATTAAAAAAAGGGAGATTGTTCAATGCAGCTTTGTTAACAGCAGTCACTACCCATAATATGGAAAAAGAAGGAACTCTAGTTTGGGGGATGTTTTGGTGGTGAGAAATTGATGATCTGTTAGATATTCTACAAAAGTATCAGCTCAAAAAAAAATAATGTGTGAATGCATGGTCTAGCTGTCCTACAGATTTAAATAATCTCTTAACTTCCCAATCTGGTAGCCTTTCCTTAGTCCTTAACTTTTTTTTAAATTGATTTTATTTTTAATATAATTTATTTAATTTTTTAAATTTTTAAAAAATTAATTAAAATGAATTTAATTTATTTTAATTAATAAAATAAAACAAGCATTTCCATAACATAGCAAAATAAAAAAATCACATACAAAACTGCAGATCTATTATGTACAACTTTTAAGTATGTAATAAAGTTATCATAAATTTTTTCTTCCCTTCCCCCACCCTTGAGATGGCTACCATTAGACATAAATATGCATATATATGTAAAATCATTCTATACATACTTCTATTCATCAGTTCTTTCTCTGGATATAGATAGCGTCTTCATATGTCCTTTGTAGTTAGTTTGGGTGTTACAGTCAAAATGACTTATTTGCCTAGAATGGTTCTTAAAATAGTATTTCTATCACTGTATACAACATTCTCTTGATTCTGCTCATTTTACTCTTCATTATTTTGTGCAAGTCTATCCATGTTTTTTCTAAAATCAGCAAGCTCATCATTTCTTCCAGTACAGTAATATTCCACCTCAATCATATACCACAACTTGTTCAGCCATTCCCCAACTGATGGGCATCCCTGAAGTTTCCAGTTGTTTGCCACCACAGAGAGAACTCTATAAATATTGTATTTATATAAATATCATCATCCTTCTTGACCACTGACAATGGTGATTTCCCTGCATCTCTCCTCCTGGATAATTTCTCCTCTCCTGGTTTTCTGGACCCTGTTCTCTCTTGGTTTTCCCCCTACTTATCTGTAGTCTTCTTCTCACTGTTTTTTTTTTCTCTACTGGATCATTATCCACATCACACCTCTAACTTTTTTTTTGACCCTGGGCAAGTCACTTAACCGTTGCCTGCCTCAGTTTCCTCACCTGTAAAAATGGAAATAGTAATAGTACCTACCTTCCAGGATTGTTGTAAGGATCAAATCAAATCATATTTGTCAAGTGCTTTGCAAACTTTAAGGTGCTGTATAAATGCTAGCTATTTTTTTTCTCTTATCCCTCTATACTTTTTCACTTTGACCTCATCAGCTCCCATTGACTTAATTATCAACTCCCAAGATGACTCAGGTCAATATATGTGGCCCTAAACCCTCTCCTGGACCACATCACCCAACTGCCCACTAGGTATTTCAAACTGGATGATCAATAGGCATCTTGAAGTCAACACGTACAAATAGAACTCATTATCTTTCCTCCAAAGTCTCCCTTCTTCTGATCTTCACTATTTTTTGAGGACCCTACCATCCTTCCAGTTACTTAGGTTTGCAACCTCAGTGTCATCCTCACCTCTTCACTCTCACTCAATCCTATGCAAGCATATTTAGTACCTGTCCCTTTCCCTATACTCACGTGGCCACAACCCATGTTTAGTCCTCTTCCTCTTCAATTCATCTGCCTTACAAGCATCAGTTATTTTCCTAAAGTACAAGTCTTACTATATATAACATTCCCTTACTCAATAAATTCCAGTGGCTCTCTACGACATCTAGAATCAAATGTAGACTCCTCTGTTTGGCATTCAAAACCCTCCACACCTGATTCCTAACCACCTTTCTGGTTTTATTATATATAACTCTCCCTTCACACACTCTACAATTCAGTACAAATGGTCTTCTCTCCATACCTAAAATGCTCACCCTCCTTACTTCTGGATCTCAAAGTTCCACTCATGCGCGCCTTTCCAGATTCCCCAGCTACTAGTGTCTCTACTCTTCCCCCCCCCCAATTATTATAGGATAATAAATTTAAAGGTGGAAGGGACCTTAAAGATCAAGTCCCACCCCATCATTTAATTTTTTATTAAAATAATTGTCTTTTTTGTTATCACCATAATTTTCCTTAGCATCTCTCTTCCTCTTCCAGAGAGTCCCACATACTAAATGTTGTCATTCAGTTGTGTCTGACTCTTGGCAAAGATACTAGAGTGGTTTGCCATTTCCTTTTCCAGCTCATTTTACAGATGAGAAAACTGAGGCAAACAAGGTTAAGTGACTTGCCCAGAGTCACACAGCTAGTAAGTGTCTGAGGCCAGATTTGAATTCAGATCATCCTGACTCGAGGCCTGGCATTCTATCCATTGTACCACCTAGCAGTTGTCATATATTAAATAGTATTTTTAAAAATTTTTAAAAAGGGGGGGCAGCTAGGTGGCACAGTGGATAGAGCACCAGCCCTAGAGTCAGGAGGACCGGAGTTCAAATTCGACCTCAGACACTTGATACTAGCTGTGTGAACATGGGCAAGTCACTTAACCCCATTGCCTAGCCAAAAAAAAAATTAAAAAAAGAAGAGGAAAACAATCAGCATAAGTGATCAATACAACAAAAAAATTCTGGAAATATTTGCGACATACAACATATCTGAAACTACCATCTCTGCAAAGGGTTGGGATGGGGGTGTCTTCTTATATCTCTTTCTCTGAGCCAAGTTTGTTCTTTATAATTTTGCAACATTCACTTTTTATTTTTATTTTTTTTTTGTGGTTCTTTCCATTTACACTGTTGTGATCTGTAGAATATATAGACTGATATTTTGCCCTTAGTAAGAAAAAAAATTATTCACTATTAGTCGAGTTATCTTTTGAAGGAGATTGTTCCCTGGGAAGACTTACATGAACTGATGCAAAGTGGAATGATCAGAACCAGGAGGACATTGCACACAGCAACAGCAATACTGTATGATGATCAACTGTGAATGACTTAGCTCTTCTCAGCAATACAATGATCCAAGACAATCCCAAAGGACTCATGATGAGAAATGCTATCCGCCTCCAGAGAAAGAACTGATATTGTCTGAATAGAAAACAAAGCAAACTACTTTTCACTTTCCATAACTTTTTTCATGGTTTTTTTTTTTTTCTCCTTTTGGGTCTGTCTTCTTTCACAACTTGACTAATATGGTAATATTTTTCACATGATTGAACATTTATAATCTATAACATGTAAAATGGGGATAATAATGGCACCTATCTCTGAGGGTTGTTGTGAGGATGAAATGAGATAATAGTTGTAAGGTGCCTGGCACATAGTAGGTGCTATATAAATGCTTATTACTTTCCCTAACTATGAAATTGTTTTCCTATACTCCCAGAAATTCTTATACCTGCTTGGTGTCACCTATCAGAACAGAGAAGTCTTTGCTTCGATTTTGTATAATCTGGCCTTTTCCTACCTTTTTTTTTTTTTTTTTTTTGCACCTTATTCTTCTTCATGTATCCAGGATCCAGTGACACCGGCCCCCTTGCCATTTCATGAACAAGACACTCCATCTTCCAGCTCCCTGCCTTTTCTCTGGGTCTCTCCCGTTGGTGGAATGCCCTCCCTCCTCATCTGTGCCTTCCTGCCTTCCTTCAAGTCCCAGCTAAAATCCCACGTTCTGTATGAAATCTTACCCAATCCCCTTTAATTACAAGAGCTTTTCATCTGTTATTTCCAAATTAGCCTGTCCAGAATTCATTTGTACATAGTTGTTTGCTGGTTGTCTCCCTCCTTAGACTGTGAGCTCCTTGAGGGCAGGGGCTGTCTTTTACTTCTTTTTGCATCCCCATTACATAGCGAAGTATCTGGCCCTTAATAAACGTTTATTGGTTTTTGAATAAGGGCCATTAACTATTGACCAACTAACTGAAAAGAAACCCTGTAGGAAAATCAAGATGAGTTTGTACTCAGATATCGCTCTGTGTTCATCTCCCTTGCATTGCAAATAAAAAAAAAAAAAATCTGTTGACTAGTGACTGTTACTGAGTTTTTCTTTCAGCGGCACAACAATCCCCAGAGCCTAGGTAGCGTAATGCCTGGCAAACAGCAGCCGTTTCACCCATGTTTGCTTGCTGATTGACTGATTGATGGGCACTGGGATCCCTGAGGGCAGAGACTGTCATTTTTCACTCCCGTAACCGCAGCACTGAGCTCCAGGATCCTGCACAAAGTCGGGCTGAAGCACAACACACGTCCCGACTACCTTGACATTGTTTCATAGGACGGTGATTTTGCAGACAAGATGTTAAACAAACAAACAAAAAAACAAAATCCGAAGAAGTTCCAGGTACAGTAACTTTTGGAAACATGACCCTCCCTCCCCACCACCCCCGGAGGCACTTTGCCACACATGGAAGGGACCCGAGAAACCGCAGACTGCCATGTTCCCTTCCGCGTTCCCCCCCTTGCTCCCTGCTGTCTCTGATTCCCCATCAGTCACTCCGGAGTTATACCCTGTGCGCTCTGCTTATTGTTAGTCATTGAAATGCATTGTTATGCATTGTTAGTCGTTGAAATTTTATCTGTGGCTCCCTCCCAAGGTAAAGAAAACCTTTTGAAATATTTTGAGCCTTTTTTTTTTTTTAACGTCTTTTCCCGCTCACAATGCACTTTGAGCAGCCTCTCGTCAGACCTGTCCGGGGCTCTGGGGATGTTTGTTTAGTATCTTCTGACATCGGGCAGTCAAGGTGGGGTGGGGTGCACTTCCTCCCCCTGGAGGGACCTGGGGTGAATGTCCCACTGGGGACAATGCTCCACGTGGCCACCACCTGCCTCCTCTCCAGATTCCTGGCCCCTAGAAGGGGAATCCTTTTATCTCACTGACTTCCATCCATAAGACCATGGAATGGGACCCTTGTTCTCTAGATCTCACTGTGGCACTGGGGCCCCTGCTCCCCAGAGAGCTGGTTAGGAGTAAAACAAGAGCCATCAGCTCCCATTTCTGCAGCGCTTCACGGTTTATAGCCTCTTTGTGAGGTAGGCAGGGCAAGGTGGTATCGTCTGGAGGCTTGTTGAGGGGACCTAGCAGAAAGGAAGGCATTCTGGCCTTGTGCAGGGTCCTGGAGACAGGAGATGGAACGCACGATTAGCAAATAGAGCCCTTTTCAGTATCTTTGGGAAGGGAGCTAACTTGCTGAAGGTCATTTGGCTAGTAAGTAAGCAGGGGAGCTAGGACTGAAGTCCAAGCTTCCTGACTCCTAGTCCAAGGCTCTGGTGACCCTCACCCTGCCTACCTCCCTTCCCAACCTTCCTGTTACATAAAAAAGGAGGCTTCTATAAATGTCCATGGGAACTGTTCATCAGTCTTACAAGATCTCAGAGGCAATTTAGAGATCACTTAATCCAACTCTTACAGAATTACCTCTAAAATGTGCCAGGTATATCATTGTCATCTGTCTATCAGCCACTTAAGGGACCTGAGTGGATGGGAAACTCATTCCCTCTCAAGGCAGCCTATTCTGAAACAGCTTGGATACTGAGCAAGCTACCAAGATCTGCCCTCATGACTGGAAAAGGCATGTAAGGAATTGAGGGAGACTGAAGGATATTAGGTGTTGTATTTAAGGTAAGCGTGGCTGGGGGGAAATTCTCATGTGATAGCCAACTAACTAAGAAGTTAGCTCAAGTAAGTGAGGGGGGGCTGATGACCCAGACCTATGTGGACAGAATTGGAGTGTTTCAAAAGCAGACTCAGTAATTCTGTATTCTAGTTAAATGTTGCTTTAGTCTCCTTAAATATTGGCAAAGCCACTTCAGAAAGGTAGGTTCAGGAGTGGCAGTGCCCTGGAGGAAGGGAGGTAGGGTAGAGTAGGGCCTGTCTACACAGACAAGGTCCCTCCTTCCCTCCTTCCAGGTCCAGTAGAGAGCAAAGAGTTTCCCCAAGAAGGAACCACGTGAGCTCCCCACTTCTGGCCTGTTCTGAGCTGCTGTTGCCCATCTTGGGTTCCTGTGTTTCTTTTCTCCATTTGGGAGGTAGGGAAAACCGGCCTTACCCTTCAGCAAGATGAAAGGGAGAGAGGGAAGGCCTTTCTCTTCTTAAGATTATTGGACTTGAGAGCTAGAAAAGAACTTTGAGTTAACTAAACCAATGGAGAAACTGAGCTTAAGAGAAGGGAAAAAGACTTGCCCAAGGTCCCATTGTGAATCTGTAGCAAAGTCAGGTTTTGAACCCAGGCCCTACAATTCCTAAATGGAGGACTTTTCTCCAATGCCCCCTGCACCAGCTGCTGCTACCCTGTGCGCCCAGCCCACAAAGCATCAAGTCGGGGCCCCAAGGCACAGAAGGAGGGCCGGTCCTTGGGGTTGTACGCCCAACAGTTCCTCATGATCTCTCGAACCTGTGTGGGTAGGAGAAAAGACTGGGCTTAGCCTTACATATAGACCTTCCTAAGAGGGGACTCATCCCTCATCCCCAGCTCCTCCCCAGGCTTTCCCTCCAGGATGAGTCTCACCTCGCCAATGAGAGAACGCCTGAAGGTCTTCACCCTTTCTTAGCTTCCCCAGCCCAGGCCCCTGTTGGGGGAGAGGGGGATGTTGGCTTACCTCTCCTGGGCAGCCAGGAGGAGCGGGCAGCCTCCTGCCCTCTGTGAGCAGCTCCAGGAGGTGGCAGAGGATGGGCATGGAGCGGTCACATGCCATCATTCGGAAAAACTCCTGGTGGGGTGAGGGAAGGAGACACTCAGGGGGAGGGACAACAGATGGGCCGGGGCAAAGAGCAAAGTCCACCAAGGGGGGCCCAAGGGGGAGAGAGGAAGATCTAGAGGAAGGTCTCACATGGTGTGAGAACCTGTCAGTTCATGTAGGGATCTCAGCAAAGGGTCAGAGGAGGCCCAGGCAGGCCCTCAGGTGGGGTGAAAGAACGGGTGAACAGAGGGGCAGGAGGCTCTCAGGTCTAAAAGACAGACAGAGGCCCGCTCCGCTCCCCCATGCAGAGATCGATCCCTGTGAACAAGCTTCTAGCTAGAGATAAGCCAAGATCTGTCATCTAGTGTCCCTGCAAGTACTGGGGCACATGGCCAGGCAAACCCCGCTCTTTGCCTTCCAACAGAAGCCTCTCTAGGATTGGGGGATGAGGAGCCAGGGAGCAGACCCCCAGGGCAGTGCTGAGACCCCTGGGGGGGGCTCCCACAGACTTTTCTCTAGAAGCCAAGGGAGAACCAGTTGAGCAGGGCTGGCTGAGAAGGCGGCCTTCCTTCCCACCCCCTGGTCTTTCACCACAGAGCAACACCGTGTGGCATTCATGCTGTGAGATCTGGCTCCAAGGTCACTTCTTTCAAGGACACTGCTCTAATCCCCAGACACACCTCATTCCTAACCCTCATTCCTACCCCTCCTAAGTGCTCATATTCACATTTGGATCAGATCGATTGTTGGCCTGGCCACATCTTCAAGGAGGCCAAGAAATCTGTGAGGCCAGGGACAGGATCTCATTTACATGGATTTATATCAAGATATTTGTATATTGATATATATATATATATACAACATATCAATATGGTGATTTGTATCAATATATTTACATCAATCTAATAATAGATTGATTTATTTGGATATAGATTCTGAACCGAAAGCAATCTTGGAGACTCCTGCATAACCTGGAGCTCATGAACTTGTTTTTAAAACCTTTTGATAACCATTTCTTTTTAAGGTGGGGAGGGGTCTGCAGCTGCCTGTCTCACTGGTTCTGCAAGCCCAGGGGCCACGCACAGACAATCATGACTCACCAGCCTGAGCCTCCCTTCCAGTAGCTTAGAATGCAAGCATGCATGTACCATCCCATTCGGCTTCCTGTTTCAAAATGACTGGTTTTCCTTGTAATCTTATGAATTTTATGTTTTTAAAAACATTCTGAGAAAGAGTCTTTTAGGTTTCACTGCTCTGTCAGTGGAATCCATGGCACAAAAAAATTTTTTAAGAACCCCTGATTTTGTACAACACTTTCATTTTACATATGGGGAAACTGAGGTACTGAAAGTGAATCAATCAAGATCACACAGATTGGGGGCAACCAGGTGGCACAGTGGATAGAGCACCAGCTCTGGGGTTAGGAAGACCCGAGTTCAAATCCGGCCTCAGACACATGATACTTACTAGCTGTGTGACCCTAGGCAAGTTACTTAACCCCGAATGCCTCATCAAAAAGAAAAAAAAAAAGATCACAGATTGTCTGTGGCAGAGACAGGACTTTCTAGAGAACTCAAGATTTCTAACTTTGAAAGTAGAGGCTCTTTCCTTACAACATACTGCCTGCATTTATTTGTCTACCTCTGCCCCCTTAATGCCTACCATAGGGCATTGCACTAAATAAATGCTTGTTGAATAAATGAATGTTGCCTAGATAAGCCTTGGTTTCATTCATGGGTATCAGGGTGAGAGGGATGTATCAGAGATGGATTGGGCCCATACCAAATTCAAGGGATAACCTTAACGAACAGCTAGGTGCCCCATTAATATCATGTAAAGTCAAGAGGAGGAGAGGAAAGCCCCCAACACATTGGGTGGATACCCCTCCCCGTCCTAAAAATGAAGGGAGGACACATGGACAAGAGATGAACAGGTCAAGGTCTGAGCTGCATCTGGGCAAGGGACGTCGTGTGAATGAGATCATGGGTACAGCGGAATTTTGGAGTATGGAAAGAACTGTGTGGAGGCAAGAGTCTGGAACTGAGGGTCAGAAGATCTGGGTTTAAGTTTGGCTCTACTCTTGACTGACTGTGTGACCAGAAAGCAGCTGAGGAAAGGGGCATTCTAAGGGGGAAGGGGATATTCACACATACATCGAACACAAGTCCCTATCCTTTCATACATAAACAGTACTTCAAATATATGTATGTGTATATATACACATATATAGGTGTAAATGTACATGTATACACATATATACACATATATACGTGTGTGTGTGTGTGTGTGTGTGTGTGTGTGTGTGTGTTGAGCAGAGGGTTCTTAAAACCACGACTAGGGAGAGATTTTTTTTGGGGGGGGAGGGGGGGTCCGTGAACTTGGATGGGGGAAAAATGACATCTTTATTTTCACTAACCTCTAACTGAACATTAGAATTTCCTTTAATTATTTAACAACATGATTCTGAGAAGAGGTCCATCTACTTCATAAGTCTGACTGCTAAAGTCACAAAAAGAGGTTAAGAACGCCTAAAGTGGAGTGAAGGCAGCCTGGGGGTGGGTGTGGGGGTGGGGTGAAGGGTGATACAACAGCTTCATTTTACCGTTAAAGAAACTGAGTCCCATATAGGTTATGTGAATTGCCCAAGGTCATGTAGCTAAGACTACATTCAAATCCTGTGCCTTTTATACTACGCCACAGTCTCTCATTTTATAGATGGGGAAACTGAGTAATAGGTAGGAATGGACTGTGTAAAACCATGGAAAGTTAGAGTTTGGAGGATATATATACACATACACATATACATATATACACACATATATACATACATACACATAGATGTATATGTGTACGCATATGTATGTGTGTGTATATACATATATATACATTTTTATCAGACCTATGATTTCAATCAGACATGTGATTTCTTTGGTGTAGGGAACTCCTGATGAGTTCCACCAACAGACAGATCAGCAACCGTTCTGACTCAGAACATTAGAGAGTCTCTTGGATCACTTGCCCAGGGTCACATGGCTAGCATGTGTCAGAGGAGGGATTTGATGCCAGGTCTTTCTATAAAATGAAGGGTTGAACTAGTTGGCCCTAAGGTTCTTTCCAGATCTATTGGCTATCTGATTCTCAAACATCCCACACAAAGTAAGCAGTGCCAGGTATTAATATCTCTCTTACACATGAGGAAACTGAGTCACAAAGTGGCTAAGTGACCTATCCAAGGTCACATAGCTGGTAAGTAGAAGGGCAGGGATTCAGAGCCAGGTCAAAGCATCATAGATTTAGTCCTGGAAGGAATGTTATGATCATTTCATTCAAAAGCCTCATTTTATACTTAACGGAGTTGCTGACTTGTCAAAAGGCCCTTTGGGGTCAAAAGTCCCCAAAGTGACCTTCTCACACCAAAGCCAGCACTCTTTCCTCTCTCCAGCATCTAAGGTGAGAAGGAAGGGGTGGAGACAATCTCAAGGTGATAGACTAGTGGCCAGTTCTAAAGGGGCACAAAGAAAGAAGAAAGGAGAGAAATGGAAGGGTGAAGAACTGAGATGTGGTCTAGAGGCAGGGTGAATGAAGGTCAGGATGGACGTAAGCAGTCCCGTGTCCAGAGAGTCTCTCAGCTTGGCAGGGGTTGAGGCAGGGAAGGAGGAAAGGTACTCACCTCTGAAGGGCTGTGGGCTTTGTCATTATATGTATAAAGCTCATAGAGGACCACGCCAAAACTCCAGACATCAGACTCCCTGGAGAAGATGTTGTCTGACAAGGACTCTGGGGCATACCTGGTCAGGCAGAAAGAAGAGGAAGAGAGAGAGGAAGGAGAACAGCATTGCAAGAAGGGTCGGGGACACTGGAGCTCTGGCTCAGGGTGGAAAATTTTATAGTGCTATCCCAGGATAAATTTCCTCTCCTGTTCATCCCAGAACATATTTCCTTCTCCTTTAGCAATTTAGGAACCTTATTTTATCTCCAAATGCCCTCCCTTATGACAGATAAGCCAGCTCCCAAACCCGGAGACCACATGCCCTGAGTATAAAAATTGCTAGCGAGGGCTCCGCAAAGGGAGAATAGAAAGGAGAAGGGGATGGGGTCTGATGGCAAAAGGAAGAGGGATGGGAGACTAAAGGAAAAGAAATAAAGAGAATTAGGCATAGCTCTCTCCCCTTGCAGGGCCATTCATCTTGTAAGCCTTAAAGCTCTATATGACTTATTATAATGATTCTAATGCTAGGTTATTAATTATAACCTCAGCTAGGTAATTCTTCTATTCCACCCTAGTCCACTCCTTACAATCAAGTGCTCCCAATTTTTTCCTCTTACTCTCACCCACCTCCACCCCCATAGCAGGGTGGCCTAACATTGGCTCGGAAGACTCTGGGTCCTAGGATGCCAACATTGTTAGCCACCATCTTTTCTTCATACATTCTCCACACCCAGCTTATGTGCCTCCTTCCACATGAGGCCTTTCCTTATTCTCCACACCCCACACTCCACGTGCCAAGGCCTTCCTCCTTCACCTAGCTTACAACTCCTTGTTTATCCAAATCTTTGTCATAGAATGGAAGTTCCTTGAGATCGCAGACTGGGAGATCTCATATATACTGTACATGCTTAGCTTTGAACACCCTCCTCTTTGAAGATGGCTCCCAAATCTCTCCTCCTCCTCCTCCTCCTCCTCCTCCTCCTTCTTCTTCTTCTTCAATTGGGATTAAGTGACTTGCCCAGGGTCACACAGCTAATAAGTGTCTGAGGTCAATTTTGAACTCAGGTCTCCCTGACTCTAAGGTTGGTGCTTTCTCCACTGTACCACCGAGCTGTCCCTGGCACCAAAATCTCTTATCTCCTCAGCTCTGCACCTCCCACTGCCTCCAGAACATCTCCACTGGATGTCCCACTGCCACCTCCAAACCAGACTCTCGTCTTTCCCCCTAACCCCATCCTCCTAATGACTTTGTAATTTCTGTCTATGACTCCATCTAGGCCCCAGGTCTCCCTTTTCCATAGCCTTTTGTTATCTTTGACTCTTGCCTCTCTCCCAAGTCTAACAAGGGATCAATAACCCCATCCTAGCAGAAGCAGCTCTCACACACACCCTCTCCCTTACAAGACTGTCCCTCAAGGACAGGTCCTCATTACTATCTCCCTGAACTAATGCTCTAGACCCCTTCCAGAGCTTTCCACTCTGGATTTCCCTCCCCACTTTCACCCTGCTGCCACGATAAACTTCCAGATACCCAGACCTGTGCCTCTTTGGGTCAGAAATCTTCCAAAGCTCCCTATTGCCTCCAGGCTATTTAGAAATCTTCCACCTGATCCTTCAGGGTCTTTTACAACCACCCTCGGGAAGCATATCGCAGTCCTGTGACTGGGGGTGGGGTTAGAAACAGCTAGGTTCAAATCCTGACTCTTCCACACTGTTTCAACTTGGGCAAACCTGGGCAAATCAGCTGCATATGAGCTTTGTCATCCGTAAAATGAGAGGATCAGGTGACCTGGGAGTCGCCTTCTAATGCTAAATCTATAATCCTTTTCCACACTTACCTCATATTACTCTATTCTACTTGCTTTATGCTCCAGCTAAATTGTGCAAATTGTACAATTCCTCTGCCTCTGTACCTTTGACCAGGCTTTCCTTGCTCTCTGAAGGCTATCACCCCAGGAATCTGAGTTCAAATCCAGCCTCAGTCACTTACTAGCTGTGTGAGCCTGGATAAGCCACTTAACTGCCTTTGGCCTCAGTTTCCCCATTTGTAAACTGGGGATAATAAGAACACCAACCTCCCAGAGCTGTTGTTAAGATCAAATGAGATAATATTTGTAAAGCTCTTTGTAAACCTTGAAGTACTATCTAAATCCTAGACGATATTACTACTATAATTATTGCTCCCCTGGATTTCTACCCATCCTTTAAAGCACAGTTCTAATGCTTCCTCCTCCAGGCAGCCTTCCCAAATGACTGTCCAGGCTCAGAGCCCAGTTGCTGAACAGAAGAGGAAATTTATCCTGGGATAGTACTATAAAATTTTCCACCCTGAGCCCGAGCCCCAGTGTCCCAACCCTTCTTACAAGAGCCCATAGTCTAGCTTATTGCCTTATCCAAGTAAACCTTTAAGAACTACCTGTTGAGTTGAATACTGTGTATTGTTATTGGGGGCCCCAGAAGGCTGGGTGCTCTGTAGTGATAAGAGCCCAGCTCAGAGTTTAGGGTTTTATGACCCATAGGTGCTTGAGATGTTTGTTGTATTGATTTATTATTCCTTCCTTCTGGGGAAAGGTCAATGGAGCAGAGAGAAAGAGAGGAAGAGAAATGGATGTGTGAGGGACACAGAATTGCAGGGTGAATACACACACAGACACACAGACACACACAGACACATACACACACACATACACCCCTTACTAAAGGCGTCTCCTAAAACCACCCCAGGCTCTCCAGGGACTAGAATAACTCTGTAGGGTTATTCTACAGATTCAACTCTCTAACACTTGTCAGAGCACATGAGTCAGGGGTGAAGCTGGGGGTCCCGGGCACTCACCAGAAGATGGGGCTCTGGCCAGGCTCCCTGACCACATAGTATTCTTTGTCCTGGGGAAGAAGTTTGGCCAGGCCAAAGTCGCCAATCTTCACGTGACTCTCACTCTCCACCAAGATGTTCCTGTTGGCTAAGTCTCTGTGAACATATCGCTGAGAGCCCAGGTATTCCATCCCCTGGAAGGAAGGCTGAAGGTCAGGGAGGACCCCAGTACTGATTGTGATGACCCCCAGGCCTGGCTCTGACCCCAAATCTTTAGAGCCAGTCTGTGACCCCCTTTCCGATCATGATCTCTCTATACTGACTCAGACCCTGATCGTTTCCCAGACCCCATCAGTCAAGGCCACGAGCACGTTCTTGAGAGGGAACACCATGGCCCCAGTGTTCCTCCCTGAGTCCGTCCCCAGCTCTGTCTGCTGGCCCATTTGACTCAACGGGAAATGGGAACCACTCCTATACCCAGAGATCTCTCTGCTCCTTCCCCCACAGACCCTCCTCCCAGCCCCTCTGCCCCTTGGAACCTTGCAGATCTGGGAAGCATAGAGGAGGAGGAAACAGGGGTCTAGGTGGGCCCGGTGACGCTGCAGGTAGTCCCGGAGGCAGCCATTGGGGAGGTATTCCATAACGAGGCGCAGACTCTGTCGGCCTGAGTAGGAACAACAGCTGCCGTCAATCTTCCCGTTCCCCACCCCTCACCGTCACAAGGTTCTCACTTGGGAGAACCCAAGTCAGAGAATTTGAGAACCCAGAATCAGGATCTGGAAGGGGCCTTGGAGGTCCCCAGCCAGCATGGGGTAGGATGGGACAGAGAAAGCTCTGGCCTGGCGTCGGCATCCCTGGATTTGAATGTAGATGCTCAGGTTTCCTGGCTGTGTGGCCCTGAGCTAATCACTGCTCTTCTCTAACCTCAGCGTTCTCAGAGCTATGACTGGTAGAGCCCCGTCTGCTCCTTCCTCATGGGGCTGCTGGGAGAAAAAGATTTTTGCGGCGTTTTAAAGCCTGTAGACAAGGTGGCTGTCCTACTCAGCGCCTAGCTTTGGCCTGGCCTGCTGGAACCTCTGCCTCTAGCATCTTGAGCATCCACCAAGGCTCAGACCAAGTGCCATCTCCTACTGAAAGCCTGTCCCGATGCCCTGGTAGCGGCTCATGTATGTCCATAATGTATTATACAACTCCCTTCCCTGCCCCGCAGCCTGTCTTTCCAGGCTGATAACACATTATTCCCCCTCACACATCCCCTGGGCAAATTGGGTGATTTGCTGTTTCCTTGTATATAACCTTCCATTTCCTACCTCTGTGCCTTTGTCCAGGCTGTACCCCCTGCCTGGAATGTTCACCTTCTTCACTTCTGCCTCCTGGAATCCCAAGCTCCCTTCAAGGCTCAGCATAAGTTCATACTACCTCCTATCCAGATCCCCCAGTTGTTGTTAATGCTTCTTCCCCATAAAAAATTACTTTGGTTTTATTTTTATCTATATTTCCTTATTTGTGTATGTTTTGCGTCTCTACCCCACCCCTCCCCCCAGTGGAATGTAAGCTCCTTGAGGGCAGAACTTGTTTCATTATTATCTTTGTGATTCTAGCTTGTAGTACAGTGCCTTGGCACACAGGAGGGATTTAATAAAAGGACTGTTAAGCTGAATCAACTCAGTCATCTGCTCTGCCCTGCTGTCTAGCCGGTGAACCTTCTCTAGGACATTCTGACAAGTGGCGGGCCAGCCTCAACCTGAGCAGTTCTAGCAGCAGGGAGCTCAAGCGCTGATAAGTGCAATATATTGAAAAGACCACTAGATTAGGAGTCAGGAGCCCTGGGTGTGAATCTCAACTCTACCAAGAGATGACCTGGGGAGAAGAAATCATTTCCCTTCTCTGGATCTCTGGTTGTTCGTTTTGTTTTTTTTTTACTCAATTGGGATTAAGTGACTTGCCCAGGGTCACACAGCTAGTAAGTGTCAAGTGTTTGGTCTGAGGCTGGATTTGAACTCAGGTCCTCCTGACTTCAGGGCCTGTGCTCTATCCGCTGCTGCCACCTGGCTGCCCCTTGGTTGTTCATTTTTAAAATGAAGAAAGTTGGACGAGCCAGGGGTCCCTTCTAAGTCCTCATCTGATGACCTCCCCCTCTCCCATCACTGCCGTCTCCTCGTGGGCCGCCCTCTCCCAGGCTGGACTCACCTGGGCCGTAGCAGACGCCTCGGTATTTGACTATGAAGTCACTGTGTAATGCTTTCAGAATCTGTACCTCTCGCTGGAAGTCCCGAAGCTGCTGGGGCCCACTGTTCTGTAGCTGCTTGACGGCCACCAGTGCTCCCGTGTTATCTCCCAGTGGGTCATATCGGCACAATTCCACGCTGCCAAAGTTACCCTGTGGTTCAGATCAACCAACGTTTGTTAAATGCCAATAATGTGCAGATGTGTTAAGGAGATAAAAGAAAAAAAAACAACCCAAAACATACGCTGCTCTCAAGGGTCTCCTAGTTTAGGTGGGAGACAATATGTATATATATTAATACGTTAAAAAGACAATGAATGAATGAAAGAAAAAGGATCGAAGTGCTTCCTATGTGTTAAGTGCTGAGGATACAAACAGAAAGACGACAATCCCTGCTCTCAAAGTGCTTACAGTCTGCTTGAGGATTCATAAGATCATAGATCCAGAAGCAGGAGAGAGGCCATTTGGTTCTATCCCATCATTTTGTACAGTTAAGGAAACTGAAGCCTAGGGAGATTAAGACACACCCAAGGTCAGAGTTGAACCTAACTCCTCAGACTCCAGAACCGTTTGCCCTTTCTACTATACCAAGCTATGAACTTCTGCTCGACCAGAATCTTGAACCCTGAACCCTCTGTCTAAAAATCTGATGCATCACTAACGGAAACTATCCAGCGACATAACAAATACAGATTTCAGCTCCAGGGCACATAGCAAAGTCCAGCAGGCTTTAAGTGCCATTGGGAAGTCTGCCCAAGGAAGCAGCAGCTGGAAGGATCAGGAAGAGCCTAACCAGGGAGATGGAGCATAGGCTAAGTCAGATGTCACTAAGACTAAGCCTGGGTCCTTCACCTCCCCATCCCTATTCCATATGCCCTTCACCTTGCCCAGCAGGGAGATATATTTAAGGTGTCTCTCCTCAAAGAGGGTGGGGTCCTGGCCAGCCATCAGGTGAGCGCTGCTCCAGAGTCCATCCCGAGCCGCCACGGCGCTGGGTGAGAGATCTGAGAGGAGCTCATAATCTAGCAGGATAATAATAGTATTAACTCATATTTATATAGTGCCTTGAGGTTTGCAAAACACTTTACCAGATGCTCTTACCTCATTTTGTTCAGAACCTCAGAGCTGGAAGAGATCTCAGAGTCGCCTACCCCAACCCCCACCTGAAATGGGAATAGTGTGCCCCTCTAGGTCCTCAAGTGTGGACTGATTTGACTGATTTGGTCAAAAGGCCACACTTGAGGACCTAGAGGGGCACATGTGGCCTTGAGGCTGCAGGTTCCCCACCCCTGCATCAATCTCAACAAGTGATCATTGAGTCTCTACTTGGTGCTCTTCTGCCCATAGGGACCTCACACCTCCTGCAAGCCAGAGTGCATTGTTGGAGAGCTCAGATAGTTAGGAAGTTCTTTCTTAAACTGAGTCCAAACCTTTCTCCCTTTGACATCCTTGCCCTGGGCCTACTTCACTGCATCACAGCATTTTGAGCTGAAAGGACCGTTAGAGACAAAGTCAGGCCCAGAAAGTCAAGGGACTTGCTCAGGGGCGCCCAGGAGAGCTAACAGAGCCAAGCTTGAAACCCAGGTCTCCAGACTTCAAACCCTGCAGCCAACTCTTGCAAACTTCAAGGCTGTAAGATCTCCTGTAGGTGCCGCTGACCTGAACGGTAATCCCTCAGTACCTGAGGAAGAGGTCTTCTTGCACTGCTACAAAGTCTCAGCCATGATGGGGGTGGACCTCGCACACAGCAAGTGCTTAATAAATGCTCCTTTCCTTTCATCAGCCTCCACGTTTAGTTAGGCCAATTCTTACATGGCTGAGGTACAGGCCATAAATCCCCGGGCCCATATTTGAAGCCTTATTGGGTCAGTAGAATCTTCTAGAACTCGAATTCCCCTGGCTGGGCCCTCACTAACTCAGTGTCACCATTAGGCATGGGAGCCAGACTTGATTGGAGCCTGGGGTCGAAGATAAGGAATAGCCCCTATCTTTGGAACACTTGAAGACTCACAAAGCACTCCTGCTGCTCCCACCTCCCAGGGACATAGTACAAATATTAGTACTATTGATTTCACCTCACAGGACCCGTCCAGCGGGGAGAGGCTGCTTCCGTGATGGGTTGCCTAACACAGTGCCCGACACATGACAGGTGATTCGTCTGTGCCTGCCAACTGATTGATTGATTATGTCCAGCTGGGTCTGAGTTTCCCCACACGGCTCTGACCAGATGCTTCATGTGTGCTCCCTCCCATCCTGGGGCCCAGCCTGTGTCCTGCAGCTCCCTACGGGTACCTGAGGTGATGAGGCTATTGAGATCCCGGATGATGGCTCGGAAGGAGGGCCGCAGATGAGGAGTGTACTCCATGCACTGGCCGATCAGGGTGGCTAGCTCCATCCATTTCAGGGCCGGCAGCTGCTGCTTCTCCTTGTAGAACTGCAGTTTCTGAAGGGGGAAGGGAGGGATGAGACAGAACCTCCGATCGAGGGCCCCGACCTGCGCTGCCTAACCCACCCCTTGATAACCCTAATCAGAGGCATTTTAGAGAGCATAGGATACCAGAGGCAGGGGTGGGGACATCCTTAGATTAGAGATAGAATGTCAGAGAAGGGAGAGTACTTAAAACCTGGAACATCAGAGCTAAGAGGATAATTATAGTACAGAATATCATGGCTGGGAGGGCTCTTAGAACCCAGAATGTCAGGGCTGGGAGGGCCCTTAGAACCCAGAATGTCAGGGCTGGGAGGGACTTACAACACAGCATGTCAGGGCTGGGAGGGCTCTTGGAACACAGAAAGTCAGAGGTAGGAGGGTCCTTGGAACACAGAATGTCAGAGCTAGGACGGCCCTTAGAACATAGAATGTCAGAGCTGAGAGGGCCCTTAGAACCCAGAATGTCAGGGCTGGGAGGACCCTTAGAACCCAGGATGTCAGGGCTGGGAGGACCCTTAGAACCCAGGATGTCAGAGCTGGGAGAGCCCTTAGAACAGAGAATGTCAGAGCTGGGAGGGCCCTTAGAACACAGAATGTCAGGGCTGGGAGGGCCCTTAGAACCCAGGATGTCAGAGCTGGGACAGATGTCAGAACATAAAACAAAGGGAAGAACCCTTAGGATAAAATTAGGGAAGAGAAAGAGGAAGGGAAACAGCATTTACTAAGCACCTACCATATGCCAAGCACTATGCAAAGGGCTTTATAAATATTGTTTAATTTGATCCTCACAGCAACACTGTGAGGGAGGTGTTAGTATTATCTCCATTTTCCAGTTGAGGAAACTGAAGCAGGCACAGGTGCAGTGACTTGCCCAGGCTCACACAGCTGGTAAGTGTCTGAGCCAGGTCTCTCTGATGCTAAGCTCATTACCCTAACCACTCAGCTGCCTGGCTGTCTCTAATTAGGACCTTTGTATTTGTTTTTTGTCTAATTGAGTATGCACATGTTGTTTTCCTTGATGGAATGTAAGCTCCCTGAAAGCAAGGATGATTTCATTTCCGTCTCTGTTTTCCGTTGCTTAGCACGGTGTCTGGCATATAGGGTAGCTTGGTAAATTTTCCTTAATGGATTGGCTAAGTACCAGAACTGGGAGGGACCTTAAAAGCACAGAATAATGGATATTAGAACACAAACTGTCAGGATTGAGGGGGATTTCAGAAGTTCTTCAAACCCACCTCTCTCATTCTAGATAAGGGGAAACTGAGGCAGCCTGGGGAGGGGAAGAGACTTGCCCAGCACCGGAGAGCTGATCAGTAACAGAGCAGGGTTCAGAACTGAAGCCTTCCGCCTCCCAGTGGCTCTACCCTCACCTTGGCGGGCTCCAGGGCACTTAGGGGCATGGTGCCCCCACTGAATATCTCCCAGAGTGTTGCCCCAAAGCTCCACTTGTCAGACTCCAGGCTCAGCAGCTTGGCATCCCACAGACACTCGGGAGCCAGCCAGGGGATCCGGTCAGTGAGCACTGAGGGGGAAGGATCACAGCAACATTGTTGGGGGGGGGGCGCGGTGGTGCCTCAAGCCCCATACCCCTCCTGCTCGGGGCCAGCCATTCTCCACCATCCCCCCATCCCTGACTGACAGTCGGCTCTCCCTGAAGGCACGCCAGGAGAAGAAGGGCTGTGCCAGTCAGGTGCCAGTCCTTCACACTCACTCTCTTTGGTCAGCACAGTGGGACTGACCCCAGGGTCGCTGAGCTTGATGAAGGGGGGGCTCCCCCCAGCCCCCTCCCTCGCTAGGAGGACCTTCTTGGAGGAGATATTGCCGTGGATGATGCCTTTGTCTTCCTAGGTAGGAGGCAAAGATCAGGACAATGAAGTGGGAGGAGGGACACCCCCATCAGGGAACTGCCCATGGCTGGAAATCAAAGCTGGGCAGAGGATGGGGGAGGCAGGGAATGGAGGGGAAGCTTGGTTTTCCAGGGTGGGCAGGAAGGGCTGCACCCACCACACCCATAGAGGTCATGGGGTGGGGGGCGGACAAAGTCTCCAGGGCTGGGGAAAGCTCAGCCCAGACAACCCTCCTGTCTCCTAAGCTCACCAGATAGTTGAGAGCATAAGAAAGTTGCTTGGCCACTTGGAGCTTCCAACTGGCAGGTACCAGGGGCCCGCATTTCCGTAAGTGGGTATCGAGTGCCCCCCATCTCACAAACTCCTGCACCATGATACCTGGAGAAGAGTTATGAAAACAAACATGGCAGACAAGGGGAGACAGAATGGGAGAGGAGACATGAGGGTTATGGGGAGGAAAAGATAGGGAGAGTTGGGGAAGGAAGGATGGGAGAAGCTCTGACCAGGGCTAGGGGAATGGGAAAAGGCACAAAATCCTGGCCTGAGGACATGGGAGAAGGGGGCAGGGACCCTGGGCTGGGAACTCACTATCTCCCGCCATGCAGACACCATGCAGCAGCACCAGGTGCTGGTGGGACACTTGACTCATGATGCTGGCAGCCTCTAGGAAGGACTGAGAGGGAGAAAGGTGTGAAGACATGGATGCCCAGCCTCCTAGGGTATTCTTCTCCCTCCCCACTCCATTCTGATCCAAGGGCCCGGGCCCAGCAAGCAGGCATTGCCATGTGGGAGGAAGGGGCATGGGTGTGGGCAGAAACAGAGTCATGGGTCATTCTATTGTCAGGCCAGAATGTGAGCTTATGGGATCTTCTAGGCCCCCCTATCTCTGAACAGGAGCAGTCTCTCTCTGTCTCTGTCTCTGTTTCTCTCTCTCTCTCTCTTTCTTTCTCTCTCTCTTCCTTTCTCTTTTTCTCTCTCTCTCTCTCTCTGTCTCTTTTTCTTCCTTTCTCTCTGTCTCTGTCTTTCTCTCTCACATACATACACACCTCCCAATAACCAATCATTCTGACAGCTGGGCAGTTCTCCATCAGGTCTGGCCTAAATGCCCTTCTCAGGATTCTCTTGACAGAACAGCTGTTTTCTGTCTGCCATGTGACTGCTATAGTTCCCAAGTCATAAAGCAAAAGGGTCTGATGCTAAAAGGGTTGAGGGGGGAGAGGTGGGGGCGGGGAGGATGTCTATTCTCAGAACCAGAAGCTAGGTGGATCATATACTAAATGGCTACATCAGGTCATGACCTAAGATGAGAGACCTTCCCATGAGAAGCACAGTGTTATAGGAACTTTTAGGAGGAATGAGGGTGGTAGTGATGAGAAAGTCATCATGCAGAATGAGGACTCTAGACACCCACTTGTGAACTCCTAGAATATAGAACATCAAAGTTGGAAGGTACTTTTGAACATAAAATGTCAAGGGCTGTTAGAACACAGGATGTCAGAGCTGGGAGGGCCCTTAGAACACAGAACATCTTTCCTTTTCCTTAAAATATAGGATATCAGAGCTGGATAGGGCCTTACAGGCTCTTTATAAAGTTCAGCTCCATCGTTTCATAGAAACCAATGCCTTCAGAAGAGAGGATAGAATTTCCAAGATTATATAAAGAAGTCAGAGCAGAATTGGGACTAGAACCCAAATGTCATGATCCTCAGCCCAGTTCTTTCTCCTATCCCCTCTCCCCCTGCTTCCTCCTGGGATCCAAAGTAAGGCAGACAAAAAGGGCCTATGAGCGAGGGACGACCCACAGGAGAACCAAAGAGCCCAGATCTCCTGATCTCGAAGCGGGAAGGGACGGCACGGTCCGTTCAGTGAAGTCCAGCCTGACCAGGATAAGGAATTTCCTCTCCAGCCCTGGGTCATCTGGGTCATCTGGCTCATCTCATTTTTCCCCACCCCTGTGGAAATCTGCAGACCTGAATGTGGGTTTGATGGGTTCGGGACGGCTCTCTGTGACATCCTAGATACGTGTCCCAGAGAGAACAGGCCTCTCACTTGCCAACGTCAGGCTGGCTCGGCAGCCCCTGGAAGGGGGTCCCCAGCCCCTGCTCCTTGCCTTGGCTTTCCCTGACCACGGCTGACTGTCTTTCCCTACTGATGGCACCTGTGCATTCACACCATCTTTGCTCGGAGTATAAGAAGCTCAGCTCTCCCCTCTCCAGGATGAGGCTCCTATTTCAAATATAACTCCAAGAGTTCAGGTTCTTCTTCTCCGCTTCCTCTGGGCTGAAGTCCATCCTCCATCCTCCTGACGGCCAAGCTGCCTTTCTGCCTCTCCAGAACTTCGTCTCTTCTTTGTTTCCTATCTTGAAGCTCTTCCTTCATTCCCCTCCCCCAGGAAGATTTCATCCTCCCCAGTAACCCAGAGAATGGAGGAATGTTCTTTCCTAGGAAGGGGACCACCCTGCTGCGTAAGAACAGAGGGCGGGCCCTTGACCGTGGCATTCGTACAAACATCATGGGCTTTTTGAAGGTCGGAGGGCTACTGACCTTGCTTCTTGGAAGACTGTGGTCTGCCAGGAGGCTCAGAGGAGATGCCCCGACAGGGCCTTGGCCACCCAACGGGCAAGGAATGCTGGGGTGCAGGGATCCATGCCTGACTGGCTGCCACTGGCTGCCTTGTGGATGTGGGGGTAGGGGTGGGTAGGGAGCAGAGGCTCTGGGGGAGGAGGGAGCAGGACCAGGGTTGAGGACACCCACCTCGATGCAGTTCTGGTGTGTGCTGTCCATCACTTTGAGCAGAACCTCTACCTTGTGGGTCTCCCCATCCACTTTATCCAGGCGGCTACCACAGTAGATCTTGGTGAAGGAGCCATGACCCAGGTTCTCATGCTGGGAGTGGGGAGAGAAATAGGGAGCAGGGCTGCCTTCAGTAGGGTGGGGGGGACAGGACTCACCTCATGGATCTGTGCTAGACTTGGGAAGTCATTCCTATTCCCATTTTCCAGATGAGGAAACTGAGGCTCAGATTGGGAAGGGACTTGTTCAAGGTCACTCATCAAGTCAGCGATAGAATCAGGACTAGAACCCAGAGTCCAAGGCTCCTTCCGCTAGTCTATCCTACCCTCTCCCCCACTTCTTCCTCTGCCTTGCTCCATTCCCGCCCCTTCTCCCTGCCCACCATCCCCATGCTTACCCACTCCAAGCTGTCGGCGGGAATTTTGTGGAACATCATTTGGCTGAGCTGGCGCTGGGGCTGAGGCCAGGCCTGAGCTGGGGTTAAGGCTGGGGATGGGGGCAACTGGGTGCAATCCCTTCTAACTATGATCAGGTTGGACTTCTCTGTGGGTTGGGATCAAAAAAAAGTAAATTTCCATCAGATCTTCTCCTTTATCCCCAAATTCCAACCTCAGACAATGGAGAAGCAAGAAATGGGCAGTGCCAGGAGGTTCACTCACCTTTGGGCCTGGGGGGACAGCAGCTGCTGAGGCTCAGTGCAGTCCCATCGACAAGGAGCCCGCAGCCCCTGGAGGACTCCAGGAGCTGTCGCAGGCTGCTGTGGGCCTGGCTCAGCCCACACAAGAATAGGTTCCCTGAAAGGTCCCGGTGGATTAAACAGCCCTTGTAGTCTGGGCCCAGGGGCGTCTGGAAGGGCAGGCAGGAGAAAAGGACTCTCAGTAAGGCTGGCCAGCCAAGAGACGCCTAGATGCCCCGGGGCACCAGGAGGTCGATGTGATCTGTTCCATCCCGAAGTCCTCCTTTATGAGAGGTGTCTGTGGCCTTTGTTGTTGTTGCTCAGTTATTTCAGTCACATCTGACCCTTTGTGATTCTGTCTGGGGTTTTCTTGGCAAAGATACTGGAGTAGTTTGTCATTTCCTTCTCCAGCTCATTTTTACAGATAAGGAAACTGAGGCAAACAGGGCTAAGTGACTTGGCCAGGGTCACACAGCTAGTAAATGTTTGAGGCTGGACTTGACCTCAGAAAGATGAGTCTTCCTGACTCCAGGCCTAGCCCTCTATCCACCACACCACCCAGCTCCCCATGCCTGTGGGCTTAGTGAGCCCAATAAAACCGGCTGTCTATACTCCATATGGCAGAGCAAACAGCTGTGGAGGTGGATAAAGATAGAGGTATAACAAGCCCCACCCCCCAGACCCTAAGTTATAAGCTCCGCTAGGCAGAGGGAAAGAGTGGGCGATGACTGTTGGACCTGACCTGGATGCAGACAGTGAGGAGGAAGCTATCGAAGTCCTGGGGGCTTTGCCGAAGGACGTAGGATCCTGGAACTGACCCCCCCAACTTCAGCTTGTTCACAGCAAACTCGGACCTACATAGACAGAGGCAGAAAAACAGCCAGAAAGGGAGAGAAAAACAGAGATGGAAAGATTCAGAGAGAGAAAGAGGCTAAAGGTCATTGTTATTTCCCTGTCCAGCCCTGGGGCTATTTGACCCGAAAATTGTCCAGCCCCAGGCCCAGGCCCAACCCTCTATCTCCCCATCTCCAAGCCTATTGCTTTTACATTCTTCCCACAGTAGGACCCTAGGATTAAAAGCTGTAAGCAATCTTAAAGGTCATGCAGTCCAAACCCCTCATTTTACATATAAAGAAACTGAGGCACAGAAAAGGAGAGATGACTAGTCCAAAGTCACAAAGATACATGATGTGGGGATTCTGACCCATATTCCTTAACTTGCGTTTTTTCCACTACACCCCATTGTCTCCCCACCCACCCAGGATCAAAAGTGATATAACTAGTACCGGAGCTCTTTGGGAAACCAGCTCTACAAAGCCCCAGCATTATCTTTGGCCCTTTGATTGCATCTGTTGACCTTCCCAAGGTCATTGCTCCTCATCTCCATATCCAAAAGAGATTGGGCCCATGGCTTCCTGTAGGCCAGAGGGGAGGATCCTTGGCCCTGGTGGTTTTGTTTTTTTTTTTTTGACAGGCTTACGTAATTTCAGAAGTGTTCACAGCCCAAGAAAGAGTTGAGATCTGGGGAAGGGGTGCGTTGGTTGTTCCTTACGTGATGGGACCATGGCATTGGTTGTCAATATTCTCCAAGAGCTGGGGTGGGGCCACCTCTTTGCAGAAGTAGTGGTGGGCATCAGTGGTGAGTCGGTAGTAACCATCAACCAGAGAGATAAAGGACAGTGCCTCCCTTAGAGTTGGAAATTCAACTTCCTATAAATATAGAATGTCAGTGAGAGAAAAGACTTAGAACCTAGAATGTCAGAGCTGGGAGAGCCCTTAGAACACAGGATGTCAGAGCTGGGAGGGCCCTTAGAACACAGAATGTCAGATCTGGAAGGGTCCTTAGAACACAGAAGGTCAGAGCTGGGAGGGTGCTTAGAACACAGAGCATAAGAATTGGGAGGAACCTTAGGACACAGAATGTTAGGGCTGAGGGGATCCCTAGAACCCCGGGCATCAGACTTAGACAGGATCTTAGCATGTAGAACATCTGAACTGGGAAATCCTTTAGAATATAAACTCCATCCTGTCTTCTCTGGCAGATCATCCCTTCTATCATCTCCATTCTCTCACTGATCTTCAATCTCTCCTTGCCTAATGGCTGCTTCCCTACTGCCTGCAAACATCCCTGTGCATCCTCCATCCTCGAAAAACTGTCCCATCAGGGGCAGCTAGGTGGCACAGTAATAGAGCACCAGCCCTGAAGTCAGGAGGACCTGAGTTCAAATCTGATCTCGGACCAAACACTTGGCACTTACTAGCTGTGTGACCCTGGGCAAGTCACTTAACCCCAATTGCCTAAAACAAACAAAAAAACAAACCTGTCCCATGATTCCCCTATCCCCACTGCCCTAAATCTCTCCTTTTAGTGGCTAACCTGTTTGAGAAGGTGATCTGTATTACGGACGCCTCCGCTTCCTTTTCTCTCACTCTTAACTCTCTGCAGTCTGGCTTCTATCCACATCATTCAACTGAAACTCTTCTCTCCAAAATGACCAGTGATCTCTTGGTTGCCAAATCCAGTGGCCTTTTCTCATTCTTTGTTCTCCTTGACCTCTCTGCAGCCTTTGACACTGTCCATCACCCTCTTCTCCTTGATACTCTCTTCTTTCTAGGTTTTCAGGACACCCCTCTCTCCTGGTTTTCCTCTTCCATATCTGATTGCTCCTTTTCTGTCTCCTTCCCTGGCTTTTCATCCATGTCATGCCACTAACAGTGAGGGTCTCCCAAAGGCTCTGTCCTGGTCTTCTCTTCTCTTCTCTTCTCTTCTCTTCTCTTCTCTTCTCTTCTCTTCTCTTCTCTTCTCTTCTCTTCTCT